AAGGCTGCCCCGCGTGGGACGGGGCGGACGGGCCCCTTTGTTCCCGAGCCGCGGGGCCGGAGCGGCTGGCGGCCCGCAGGAGAGCGGCCGGGAGCCGGGGGCGCCTTTTTCGGGACGGGACGGGGGTGGGGGGAGCAGCGATCTCATGCAAAGCCTATCGTCGACTCGTCTGTCTGTCCGTAGGTTACGAGGGCACTGGGTCAGTCCTGATGTCCCCTGTTCCCCATCAGATGTTGCCCTACATGAACGTGGGCACTTTGTCCCGGACGGAGCTGCAGTTACTGAACCAGCTGCACTGCAGGAGAAAGAGACGGCACCGGACTATCTTCACTGACGAGCAGCTGGAAGCGCTGGAAAACCTCTTCCAGGAAACGAAATACCCAGACGTGGGCACCAGGGAACAGCTGGCCAGAAGGGTGCACTTAAGAGAGGAAAAAGTGGAGGTACTTTGCTTTCTTTTTCCTTCTTCAGCCCTCTCCCACTGGCACTCAAAGGCGCTCGAAGCGGATGTGTGTGCGGCTCCAGCCCGGCTCTGCCAGCGGAGGGAGAGCGATCGCTTTGCGGGGGCAGAGGGAAAGTTTTTGATTATTTCCGAGTGCCCTTCCTTGGGGCACAGGGCTGTGAGCGAGTGGCGGCTGTGCCTCCTGAAGGCACCCGGCCGCTCCCACCGAGCGCCTGCTTCCCCCGGCAGCGCTCCTGCGGGGCTCGGCTCGACTGCGGGCTTGGATCCTTTTAGTTTTATTTTTTTCCCCCATTAATAATTTCATTTCTTAACGTAATAGGTTTGGTTCAAGAACCGCCGGGCGAAGTGGAGGAGGCAAAAGCGCTCGTCTTCGGAGGAGTCAGAAAACGCACAAAAGTGGAATAAAGCGTCTAAAACGTCACCGGAGAAGAGACAAGAGGACGGGAAAAGCGACTTGGACTCTGACAGCTGATACTTCTAAGTGGGGGGGACATTTCCCGTGGACTGTCGGATACGCTCCAGAGGATGCTACTAATCTTGCACAAGATCTGCCTTGTTGGAGGGGGAAAATATCTGTATATAATGTACAATGCCCCGAGCTAATTCCATGTAAATAAAATGTGTTGCGGAGGTGTTGCACAGGTAGACGGCGGCGCGTTTGTTCACTCTGCGAGAGGGAGCAGGGAGCGCTGGTGCCCGGCCGCCCGGGGCTCAGAGCCGGCCGTCAACAGCGAAAGCTGTGTCGCACTGAAGGCCGGCGAGGACAGCGCTGCCAGGCGGGCCCCGCGGCCGGGGGAGCCACGCCAGATCCCGCAGCCTCAGGGAAGCGGCTGAGGCCCGGCCAGGCCCATCCGGACGGGGGAGGCCCGGTAGGAGGCCGGGGGCTGNAAAAATCTATCTTTAACAGACAAGCTAAATTTATTGAATTAAGGGAATTTTTAAAATTTATTAATAAAATATTTGAGTTAGACAATAGGAAATGCTAATCATTAGTTTGTATTATTTTTAAAAATGCTGGTTTCTAAAGGTGCTTCTGGGGCTCATTCCAGAGTATTATTGGCTCCATGTCATTTTTTGCTTATGAGAGATACCTACATATGTATCTTTCCAGATCTCTTTTCAAGTGCATATGCCTGTTTATATGGCATGGAAGTATTTTGTTATATATTGCAAGTGTGACAAGAATATTCTGTTTAATGCTAACTGTTCCTATTTTTCCATGTTGTAAATATTTACCTTTAAATGTCATGGCTGTTTAACTTCCATTCAGTAGAAAAGAAAATACTAATTTAATGTTTGGTTCCTTTTAAGACACCTGCTATTGAAATAAAAGTTTGCAGCCAAAGCATCATAAATTTGCAGGTAGATTAACAGGATACCTGTCGTAAATAATTTGATTTTTTTTTCACAGATCTGTGAGGATTATCCATCATGTCCTCGAATTTTGGGATTAACAGCTTCCATTTTAAATGGGAAATGTGATCCTGCTGAGTTAGAGGAGAAGATCCAGAAACTGGAGAAAATTTTGAAGAGCAATGCTGAAACTGCAACTGATTTGGTGGTCTTAGACAGGTATGTTTTATGATTTTTGGTAAATTGATGCCTGTGTTTTCATTTTGGGCAGAGGAATAAACCAGTAGCAATATTTTGTCTTCTGAATTTTAGAAAAGTTTGTGTGTATATGATGCTTCTATTCCATATAGGGTGGAGATGGAATGTTAAATGGTTTTTGAGTACAAAGTCTGATTGGCCTTGGCAGGGAGAGATTTTCTGTAGTTAAAAAACAAAACAAAAAAGATGCAACAAAACAGATCCTCAAACAAAATAACCCAAACCAAAACAATTAAAAAAACCCCTCAACACACCACCAAGCTAAAAAACTGACATTTCACAAAATATTTCTGAACTTCTAAAATTCAGTCTTTTGTGTAGAGCGTTAACTGTTTCATGTCCAGTGTATGCCGTAATGTCACTATTTAGGAAAATGTGGCAACATCCACAGTGCAATGTGCTCTTAATGCCAGAGTAGTTGCCTTTTTTTTTTGTCCCCCCAGATGCATTGCCTGGGTTTTAAAGGCTAATGAAAGATAGAGGGAGATTAGAGAAAGTAGTAAATACTTAAATGACAGAGCAAGTGGCTTAAAGAATCTAGAATCCTGTGAATGTTGTTTAAACTAAAGTTGGTGATAATGCTATGAATTTTAGGGAAATTAGGGTGAAATGATTGCTATGTAGCATGTTTTCTTCTGCCAACTGTACTGTATTGTTGAGTTTCAGACAAAGCTAAAGGTGTTTTTTCCATGTTACAGAACAGGTGTTTCATCCATGTGTAAATGTTTTAAATGCATTTTTTTTAACTTTTGTGAACCATTTCTTTTTAAGAATTTCTTGCTTCCACTCAGGAGTAGTAATTACTTGCATAAATGTATATATAGACATGAATTTACATGAAGTGGATTGGTTTTCTTTTGTATAGCAAGAGAGTGCACTATGGAAAAACAAGTGAGAATGTTGATGAATAAATAGAATTTACTTAAATTTTCCAATATTTGAAATGAGGATAGCAATGTTAGTCTTCTTAGGAGTGTATTCAAAGAGTATCTAGAATGAAGTAGCTCAGTATTTTCGGTGGTGGAAGTTTTTCTGAAGTGTTTAACTGTATAACTTTTAATAATTATTGATTCATGGTGTTCTTTAATACACATAATTTTGCTGTTGTGTTTGCTGTATAACCTTAAGAGCTGAAATACCTCTGGCTTTCAGAAGCTCTGTTTAACTTGATCTTTCCCCTCATTAAGATATACTTCTCAGCCATGTGAGATTGTTGTAGACTGTGGACCATATACTGACAAAAGTGGGTTGTATGGAAGATTATTAATGGAATTGGATGAAGCACTTGCTTTTCTAAATGACTGCAACATATCTGTACATTCAAAAGAAAGAGATTCTACCTTAATTTCTAAGCAGGTAAGGATATCAAGAAATGTGAGAAACCTGGGGAATAGAAATCTTACTACGGTTTTTCTTTGCCATGTATGTTACATAACTGAAACCTCCATAGCTAGCCATCCTTGATTATCTGAAGCAAACAGACTTCTGATTTTTGTGTTCATTAACGTGCAGTTGTTTTCATACATGAGTGAGGCTTCAATGTCAGGTATTGATTAGAATTTCATTTAGTTTGAGGTTCAGATTTGTATAAAACAGTTCTGCACCCTTATGTTATAGGTCCTTATCTCTGAAGGCAAGAATTTGACATTCCCACAATCTCCCATTAATTCAGTACAGAAGAGGAAATAATGCTTCAGGGAGAATTTGGACTGTACCCCATTGTATTACAAGTTGATAAAGGAAGAATTTAGGCAAAAATTCTAGCCAGAGATGTACAGTGTCTGTAGTTTATCTTAGAACAATATTGGACTAGTGCCGCATCTTGCTTGAACGGAATTTGAATCTCAGGCTTGCAACTGATTTTCTCTGTGTTTGCCCCTGTGTTGTCTTGACCTTTGGCAGAGGATGGTCCAGAAGGTGTGGAGTGTTAAGCAGGTACCTCTCACACAGGGGTCCAGGTACCCTTTTTAACCCTGCTTGGCCTTCCTGGTTTGGAATTGCCTGCTAAGTTACCACTGTGTCAGTATATAAGTTGTTGAACAAGAAGTCAGTAGTGAGTCACTACTGTGACTATTCCTGTAATAGTCCACAAGAAATTTGGAGAATATATTACTTTCTTCAGCCCAAAATATTCCAGTTTTCTTTAGCATTCTTAAAACTGAGGGCTGTGACACTGTCTATAAAATATTATTTGTGCCAGAGGGGAAGATTGCACATAAGGCAGCTTATCACAGTGCATGGGAATTGAAAGTCCTGGTTACTTTTGTGCTAAACTTAAACCATAATAGGCTAAAATACATAAGGAATGCTGGCTGGAGGCGATCTTCATGACTTTCAGACTCCAGAAGAGTGGATTAACTTCAATAAATCTAAAGCTTGCAACCCTCTTGCTTGTTTTAAGCCAGTAGCTCTCCAAGAAGATGGAGGCACCCATATTAAGAAAAGAATTGAGTTTCAGACTGTGATACTTTTTATCTTGGCAATGTAGACTATCAAGCCCCTGTACGCAGTTACAATTAGTGTAGATGGTTTTACCCTTAAGTCTTAGAACTAAATAACTTCACAGAGGATAGCACAGACTCAAGAGGATGATAGTCTGATCTTTCTTTCCTCACAGAAGGGAAGAAGGAAGAGAAATTAAAGCAGCAGCTGAAAACCAGCATCCTGATTGTTACAGTTCAGTTGTAGTTCTTCAGGTACAATATAGGGCATCCAAACAATAAGTCCTTTTAATGGTGTTATCAGTGTACCCCATTTCTGAATTCCTAGTTTATTGTCTAACAACTTCACTCTTCTGGAGGAAACAACTTCTCATCAGATCGGTTTATGATGGTACTTAAATGCCTATTCTGTTTTCTATGAATAGGATATAGTTCTCTCTTTTTAATATTCTACCCACACGTACAAACCACTGTGTTCTGTTTTTCCTTTGAAAGGATAAGACTTCCTAAGGCTACCTGAAGGCTACTGTGGAACTTTGTGATTATATACTTCTGAAACCCTGCCAGCTGTCAGTAGTAAATAAAGTAAAAATGCCCAATAAAGTGTTTATTCTATTAGTTCTGTGTTATATAATAAAGATAAGAATTTTTGCTTTGTTTATCTAGCTGCTTCAAAAAGTATTCTTTTTAGTATACATTTCAAACTGCAGTTCTACAAAATGGCAAAATTTTGATTAAGCTTGGGGTTTTTTGGAGTTTCAGAAATACAGTTTGAAGTTGATTGGTAATTATTTAAGGAGGGGGGGGAACTTGCTCCATTAGAAACACCAAATTTCCCAAGTTCATCTAAATAAGAATAGCAGACTTCTGCATTTTTTTTTAAAGTAGAAAAATGTCATAATCCTTACAAAGACTGTGATGTTAGAGAGTAAAGCCCCTAGTCTTAAATGCATAGTTCATGAATGTACTCTTTGAACTGATACTTGAATTCATTTGTTGTAGATATTGTCAGACTGTCGAGCTGTGTTGGTTGTTCTGGGACCGTGGTGTGCAGATAAGGTAGCTGGGATGATGGTGAGAGAGCTGCAGAAGTATATCAAACATGAACAAGAGGAGCTGCACAGGAAATTTTTATTGTTTACAGACACTTTCCTAAGGAAAATACATGCACTCTGTGAAGAGCACTTCTCGCCTGCCTCACTTGACCTGAAATTTGTGACCCCAAAAGTAATAAAGCTGCTTGAAATCTTGCGCAAATACAAACCATATGAACGGCAGCAGTTTGAAAGTGTTGAATGGTATAACAATAGGAATCAGGATAATTACGTATCTTGGAGTGATTCTGAAGATGATGATGAGGATGAAGAAATTGAGGAGAAAGAGAAGCCAGAGACTAATTTCCCATCTCCCTTTACTAATATTTTATGTGGAATTATTTTTGTGGAAAGAAGATACACAGCAGTTGTTCTAAATAGGTAAAGCTTTTTATTTAAAAAAGGAAATATATTCTGAAGGAAAAAGGCAGACTCAGCTGCCAGGGTGTTAATATCATGAATATGTAGGGGATTGCCTTGTATTTTCAGAACTCATATT